TATCGAAAAGAATAAAGGATTTCTCAGAGTATGAGAGACGCTCGATTGACAGTAACCATAGAACTCTTAATAATCATTGTCTCCAGGAACGGTCTCGCGATGTGAATTTAAATTTTAACTTTCTCATCCGTTTGATATCTTCAATAAGCGCAGATTTGCACATTTTTACAATTTTGTATCGAAAATTGCGTGTTTTACGAACAACGAATTCATGTACCACGTGCCAGTTCAAGTTTTCTTTATGCTTGATGAAAAACTTGATTTTGTCGATTTTGTCGCTTAAAGGTCATTGCTTCACATAGCGATGTTATCTGAGATTGTGTTCGAGATCTTGTTAGAATGTTACAATCTTTTATGACAAATCTTTTGGATTGTGTCGCATAAGGCTAACAGATATATTAGATATATTGTTTCGAATATGGGCCTAGCAAGGGCACAAAGGACAAAGCTTGTTTTCCAACAGCACAAAGCTTGCAGCAATATTGCTGCAAGTTCCGTGCTATTGTGGTATCGTTTATAGGTATTAGTATTTATTATTTTTCACAAATTATCCATGAATTTTTTGTACTTTGTAAAATATTTTTATTATATTTTCATTATACTGTATTTATTTTTAAACATCAAAAGACGCATTTATCGTGAAGAAATGGGTTTTAGCATCGTTGTATATTAAGATCCACGCACATGTAAGCATTAGTAAAACAAGTCGTTTTCCTTTTGTTGTGAAGTACATATCTGTGACGACAGACAGAAAACAGATACCAAAAATTGTAAAACGCTTCTATGGCGCCATATGATACTATTATCTTGATGTAAAATCACGAAATCCTCAAGGAGGGTCAACGCGATTACTGTCGCATCGCTGCAAAATCCGAGAAATGCCCCCAAAACTGGAATGGCACATTGTCTCAGGTATTGTCGACCGTGGAGTGGGCGACTATATTTTTCCGCACCCGAAATCAAAAGATTCTTCTAAGCCTACCTCCATCGACCACTCTGGACCATAAAGCTGGGGTTTCCAGGTGGGACTACCCGCTGCGACGGAGTGCCCTTAATCCACGTGAACAAAAAGAGTTGCACTAGTATAATGAGAGGCTCGTAATGCGAGACTATTGTTGCGAGACAATGTTCAGCCGCGTTAAGCTCTGTAAACAGTAATGCCTTTGACAATCCACTTGAATTTTTTCTCAGTTTCCCGATGTAGCGTAAATTACACCATACATATCGAGTAATTGGTTCTAAGTACGATTTTTAATTCTCCAACAGAGTATATCTCCGCGATTTTTGTGATTTTTTTTTAGAACTCACTATGTTGTTATATCGCGTGTACACATGCGATGCGTTATTTAATGTAATTATTATTCAATATATGCATGACCAGCAGAATTATATTGGCTTCTTGAAGAAACCAGTAATTTACATATTTGGAATTCATAAGCGTTTCTCATGGGGAAAGGCAGGTCGTCGTTTAATTAATGTAATTATGTTGACTTATTATATCATATAATTATATTGACTTCAGTTTATCTTGTAATATTTTAATTACCTTTAATAATGGATCGCGATGAAGCTTCTCGCAAAACGAAGACGCGGAAATAAATCGCGTTGTTAGATCAAACGAGCAATGATAATTTAATCTCTTGAATTAAATTTTAAAACATTTAATTTAAACATTTTGTTATATATTTTTATAACCTCCATATACATCAAAATATAAATCCGTTTCTATATGGTAGATTTCAAGCAATAACGTCCATATTAACATATACTTAGCAAATAATTGTTTTACTTAAATTAACATTTTGAACAGGAGCAGATCTATAGAAATGATTAAAAATAACTCTATTTGAATATAATTTGACATGAATTCAACAGTGTACTCATCCACAATTTTTAGCAGCAGCTTCTCCTACGACTTTTCATTCGATGTTAAAAAGAATCAGAAATCGCCGCGTTAGCAAATCGTTACCAAATTTGCATTCGATCAGACGCCACGTTGATAAGTCCAGTCGAGACATCCGCCTCGATTAAATGCTGGTCTCAGGTGTCTCGCACCTGCACGACAAATATCACTGCGATCATCGATGTACGCACGTCTACATTTGATATTGTCACCTGCAGCAACTGACATCGGGAGCTATTTAATATAGCAACGACACCAATATGCAGATTCCATGAATTTCAAACGTTTACATAAATGGATACGCACTGCGAACATCAGTTTTAGCACATCTTATTCGTCTCATTATTACGAAAGCGGTAATATGCGTTAAGTTTATTTCGATTTACAGTTACAAAGCTAAGTTTTTAGATAGTGTGCCATTTTATCAATGATTTTCTCAAATTCTTAAAAATTCTTGCTCGACACATGTATTACGACGATGATACTTTTACAGTTTTCTATATAATGCCTAAATATAAATATAAACTGTCAGTGCCGTAAAATTACAATTTTTTTATACCCGGTAGCAATTTAAAGAAATTATCGATGTAATGATGCACTTCTCAGACATGTAATTTCATTAGAATTCTAATTAGGTATTTTAATTGTAACAGTGACTTGGTAATTTTAGGGCATTTTTTTGATCGATAAAATAACTTGGATTCATGCTGTAAAACGATTGTGAAAAAAAAAAAAAAACTTAATTCGCATTCGTCCCGGCGCGCGCACAGTCACGCTTTCTGGACGAGGAGAAAAATATGCGCACATCGTTGAGACGTCAATAAACGTGCGAGTTGCGCGAGACGTGATAAGATGGAAGAAAACGAGAAGAGACGGAGTGCATCGAGGGTGCATCTACGGTACGAATCTGCTGGTTTACGGACCGTGCGCGTCTATATAATTATTCTCGATGCAGGATACACATATCTTTATAAGGAAGGGTTCACGTATATACCGCTGGTATCCGCTACGGTATCTTTATGGCTTATTGCAACGCTTTAGGCAATTTCGTGATCAACGTGAGGAACGGGAAGGAGAGGAAAACCATGATCGCTCCTCTGCTCAAAGCGTTTCGCTGTTCTATCAGATTTTGTTCGAGGTACATAATTGTTTAACATTATTGCATATGAAGAAAATATGAGATTAAAGATTTAAAGTCTTAAAGGCGTTAAACTAAGCAATTTTAGCTGCGGATGGGAGAAACGTATCATTACAAAACGTTAATAACATGTTAAATTAACGAGCGAAGTGTTAAAGATTTAAGACAAGTCGGTTAATAGTTGGAGATCCGCAGAAATATAATGATAGTAATAACAAAGTAAGGAATCAATCGCAAACAAAGTTAACGTTTCATCTTAATTCGAGAGAAATCGGGTTTGTAGGAAACACTTGTTAAGAGAAGCAAAAACGAAAATAACGAATAATTAAGGAAAGACCGTATCTATTAGATTATTCTCTTTATCTTCCTGTTATCCTCTCGATACAATGTATCGTCGACGAAGAATCGAGAATTATTCGCGGAACGCGACACGCAGACTCCCGCATACGTGGCCGGTCCATGTATGTCTCTGGTTCACCTTACGGAGATGAAGGGGGACAAGAACTCAGATGGAGAGATAAACAGATTGAGCGCGGGAAGCAGCAAGAGGGAGAGGGAGAAAGAGAGAGAGAGAGAGAGAGAGAGAGAGAGAGAGAGAGAGAGAGAGAGAGAGAGAGAGAGTGTACTGGTTCGAGGGACCAACAATGCCCTCATTCAGGCTTCGTATACACGGGCGCATTATTGAATTCAGTCGCTTTAAACAGAGAGAGAGAGAGAGAGAGAGAGAGAGAGAGAGAGAGAAAGGGTTACGCGGACGGGTGAGATGCGAGAGGTACGGGCTGAATGCTATCTATATTATCCGAGCATAGTCGCTCACGCTGTTTGGCGTAGATCGAGATTATCTTCCACAGTATCTGAAGCCGCAGCCGCGCGCCGCCGAAAAGCAAAGTGCTCGCTCCAGGCGAAAGGAAGAAAGGGTAAGCGGAGAGGGTACGCGAGGGGGGTGTGCGAGATCGCCGCGAGATACGTTTGTGCTGGTACACGTCTAGCCTCCAAATCTAATGTGACGTCTGTGTCACGTACCTCCTTCCATACTGCTCCATGTCGCGCGCATAAACGGAATGTGTCTCTCTCTCTCATCCTCTTTGTCTTGCTCGCCACAAAGAACGCGCCCCTATATGCACGCATCGCTGGCGATATCTATATTTCTGTCTTTAGACAAACGATACTGAAATTTGCATACATGTTACTTTGAAAAAATTAAGAGTTTCGAAATTTTAATTTTATTTTTTTTCAATGAACGAAATGATTTATCTTATTATTTTGTTGTAAATATTAAATTAATATAATATTTTAACTTCAAAAATAATACGTCTCAGAAGTTTGTAGTTCCTCTTTATTTTAATTCTGAATTTATCGGGAAACAATTAATTGATAATTTGCGAATAACACTATTTAAGGTGATTCTTTAGTAAATCCAGTTATTGTAGGAATGTCTAACTTTTTATATAATAAATTTGTCAAATTATTTATCTCCTAATTTAAAACATGCAATTGAGTAATTTATACAGTTAAGATATGAATAGTAATACTTTTTTATTTAAAAAATTTATTGTAATATTTTTAAAAATAAATTCATTTAAAATTCATTTATAAGTGCAATTTTTATAATACATATTTTTTTAAAATAGGCAGCGATTATGAAATTTTATAATAAATAATGTAATTATAAAACCGCCAGATATGAAGCGCGTCTTCTTATCATTTTAATGCCATGGTAGAAGAATACAAGTGAAACAAATGTGTATAACGGCAATTCAGAGCAATTCAGCAAATCAAATTATTTATCTTAAATTCGATTCTATCCAATCTAATTTTGTCCTATTGCTTTCGCATTCTTTAGGACAAATTCTGATTGACTATAATTAAATCGGCTATTGCGCATCGAAAATTTTTACCTATCTTCGTCCACTATCTTATATTAACTATCTTATATTAACGTTCGACTTGCAGGACATTCACAGGACACTGGACGATCTCCGAATATAGACAGAGACTTTCTTATGGAGAGTACGAAGCTTTTCACATTCAGAGCTTCTGTGGATTGAATTCCACATCCAGAAGTCAGGGTATTTAAAAAATTAATGTTAATTTTTGACAAATTTAAATAAATTTAGTGATTAAAAAAAATAGTACTTGACTAGCACAATTTATTGGCGAAATATTGGTTAAACAAATTGACATACATTGGAGATATGTTGGACCAATGTTGCGCCAATAAATTATGCTACTAGGATAGAGTGTATATGTATAGAAATATGTTTCGTACATACAACAAAAGAGATATTTGTGTTATTTTGAAATCCTCTTCTTATTCAGATGAGATCCACATCCAGAAAAGTCAAGAGTCTCTGTCCCTGGCTCCGGATCAAATAGTATCGTCGTATTGGTAAGCGAAACTTGTTATTGTTTAAATTAATTTTAAAACGCGTATTTTGCAATATTTGTCCAATCGAAAATATAATCGTGCGAATAATTGGCAAAGTGACGATGATATTATGAGTGGTGCAGATATCTATAATTCGAAATGCGCAAACTTATTCTAAAAAATTCGAAAATTTTTTGATATCGAAAAATTGTCAATAAATTCGGGGAATATTTAAAAATTCTGATTAAAATTAGAAGTTTGATATTTTCTCTTCTTTCTATATGAAAAAATATATGAATGATCAAAGAAAGGATTATATGATTATGGAAATGGAAATATTGATGTACAATTTAAGTTTGTCTAACTGCTAGATCGTACAGCTTATGTGTTATTATTTGAATTAAACACTCCAAAACTTATATTAAAACACAGGCAATATTCGCATATCATAATTTCAAAAAGCAAAACTGTAAATGTATCAATTGTAAATATTAATATCAGTAATTTAAACTTGGGATACTTGTTTTAAAAATACAGATATTTTTTAAAAAATATTTCTATTAGAGCAAAAATATTTCTATTAGAGCAATGATTTTTTTGTTGCTCGATCGTTTTTCTTCTTTGTTTTTATACGATTTAATAGTAATTTTATTGAGTTTCTCTTGTATTTGCGGTTGCTTGAAATTTAACTTTCGTCGAGCGTTATGGAAATGTTCAGGAGCGTTGATAACAATGCGAATTTCATCATTGTAAACATTAGATTGTTCATCAATACGTTTGAGATATTCTTCCTCAGATGGCGATGTGGTTTCCAACATGTTATCGATGGCAGCGTTCAACGATTCTTTATTCTCATAGAAAATATATACGATACTTTTGTACTTAAATGGTCATCCGATTTGAGAGATTTGTTATCCGAAAATTCTTTAAATATTCTCACATGCAGCATTTTCTCATAAACGATGTCGGTGTTCAAATCGACGCTTTCTTCTCCTGGACTGTCAACTTCACCGCCGGTATCAATGACGTTATTTGCTCCTTCACGTCATTAGGCACTTCAGAAACGTTAACGAGATGCTCGAACAGTGCTTTCAAGTACGAGCCTCTTGTCGCATAGGCCATGTGATCGAAACCTATAGCATGCAGATTATCGTACTTATGTTCGAAAAAAATCGAAAACCTTCACCGCGTCAGTCTCGTTTATCTTCGTATAATCATAGCCCGCATCACGTCATACAAGTCCACGTCCATATTGAAATCGTGCGCATACGTCTTCAATTCGATCGGCTGTGCACCGGGACCAGTGGTGATTATTTTATCTCTGAAGTACTCGAGAGCCTCCTGTTGCACGGGATCCTGCTGCACACTTTCCAGTTCCTGGCCCAAGTCCATAATAGTCTGCAAAAGTCGATCTTTTGTCACGTACTCGAATGGATCTCTTGATAACTTCAGTTTACGCAGTAAATCAGGAATGGAGAAGAACTTGATGATACCACGAATGATTCTTTCGTTTCTCGTCTTCGGTAGCGCGAAAAAGAGCGATTGCACATTGATATCGTCCATCGTTCTCGATGTTGCAGGCTCAATCTTAATCTCATTGTGCAGAGTACGACGAACGTGATGGAGATGTTCCAGTCATCGACGTTCGTTTATGCGTACGAATCAAGAATTTTATCCTGCAGTATTTTGTTATGAGACAACAGTTGTCGTACCAGATACACAAAATGAGCAATCGAAAGTTTTAATTGGCAATGGCGATCCATGATATTATCGATAGCAAATTTCAATGTTTCGGAAAGCTTCGACTCTGTATTTTTCAAGCCTACGGTTTGTAATATAAGCATAAGTTTTTTCATCGGCGTGTGCACATCAGCCAGACTGAAAGTCGATAACAAATAATTTTTGTATCTTCAAGAATATTTTCAGATACCGTGGATCGCTATCGATATACGGCAGATATTTTATTTAGTACAATTGCAAATCCTTTGATATATAAATTGATTAGTGGTTCTTCAAGATAATTGCGTTCTGGAGAGCCCTGGATAAAGGTTCGTCGGATTTAACTGAAGGAAGTGTCAGCGCTCTTTTCAGCATGGCTAGTAATAAGCTCCTCGGTGTTTCGTATTCAAACTTGTTGAACTCGAAGCCAAGAATATTGAGAATGGTTGGCTCGGACAGAAAATTTATCATAGGAGCGAATTTTTCACTTCTGAAGATATTCAGTATGAGCCTCAACAAAGAAAAGAAGTCGATCTCAACATCCATTGAATCATCCCTTTGAAAGATGATGTCAGAATTATAGAGCAGCTCTCGTTTAAGGGTTAAACCGTTGATGCGTCCTTTGTAAATGAAATTATCGATAACATTCGTCTTGTTTAGCGGGACATTTTTTAATTGGATTAGCGGGGTTCAAGATTAATTCCCAGGGATCACTATTTGCTCGTCTATCCTCGAAGGCGTAGGTCCATGGCAGATCCTCGGATAAATAGGGACGTAACATTTTCATTGCGTCGCTAATGTTCTGCAGACACGGCGTATCAAAGGAATCTAAATAGTCGTTAACCTCATAAAAGTTAATTGGCACTGTATAGTGATAATTGGCATCGTTCGCCAATTTTTGCGAGACGAAAGATATCAGCAAGGACAAAGGTTTCCTTAAATGTCGCAGATATGATTTTTTACGGAGACAAGACTAGTAAAAGAGCATCACCTCATCACCTGTTTTATAGAAACCAATATCGAGATCTTGAAAATGCGAATTGTCAAGATGATCAAAGAGATGTTTAGCTACAGCGACGACGTTATCGGAGTAATAATTGTTCGTTATCATCAAGAGCTTCTTTAAGCTATCTTTGCTCTTGAGAATGGGCGGATAAGGCTCTATCGAAATTCTGAAGTAATAATGAAGTTGTCTCCCTAATTGCCTCGGATGACAACTCGTCTGTTTCCAGTCTTTTAAGCACAGTTTTCAAAAAATTCGTTGTGTTCTCTAGATTCGGTCCCATATATTGCAGTAGAGCATCCTCCGAACTCGATGGCTCCTTCAATCGTTGCGCGATAAATTTGATGGCGTTGTGGACTTCTAGATCATCCGTCAGATCAAATGTTGGATAATTTAATAATATCGCTGACACTGTACGCAGATTAAGAATCTGATCGCCATTGCGAGCTGCTTGTAACAGAAAGTCAATGCCTTTCATCAAAGATGGAAACACCACGCCGGCCCTTCGCTTATCGCGCGAGATCACTTTCTGGTCTATGTTGAGCAACATATCGGTGAGCGGCACCTGCTCTAAAGCGGTGTGAACGTCGGAAAAGATGTTTATACAGAGCGATGCGTAATCGGGAATGAAGCGGTTATCAACCCTCTCCAACACTTGTATAGTTGTTGCCTCAGTGGCTTATTTTTCAGTGCCGGCAGAACTTGAATTCGTAGACCGCGACTCGACGATTTCGTACGGCATCGTGAATCAGCTCGAAGGGTATTCTCACGTTGTCGTTGAGACAAAGCAGGAGTGTGCGACCTAACGTCGTCACCAGATTGTCACGCAAAACTGCAGCAGCCTCCAAATGCGATTAAACGTCTTGCGGCGTGAGAGCCGGATGTTCAGCAACGCTTTGTAAAGTCTAGGTACCATAGATGTTCGCGCGTTACAATGCCGATTATAATGCTTCTTTCCGTGCGAATTCTATCGAGTGGAAAGCAAATGTTATTTTATTTTTCTTTTTTTATCTTTTCTTCTTACTGTAATGTAGTGTAAGGAAGTATGTAAATGTGATATTCGATATATTACTTATGTTTACCGATACTTGTCGTTCAGTAACAGATTCTATAAATTGACAAATCGATATTGACACTATTATGATCAATATTACAGTCCAGTTTATTCGAAACGGGATTCGGAAATTTGCAGCGTTATATCGATGTTTGAATGTTTTGAATCGATGATTGAACTGTTCTTTTATCTTCTGTGATGCAGCCTTTAGGATAATTGAAAGCTGTATATTTTCTATTAGCCATCTAGAGAAATATTTTAAATTATATTTTAATTGTAGATTTTAATCTGAATATTTATTTGTGAAAATTTGATCAGCAAGAAGTATACTTTTTCTATATACATTATACAAAAATTTAAATATTTTTCAAAATTTTATGTGCCGCGCTGTTATAGTTTCCTTATCACTGATTGTGCATAAAAATCTATCTACATTTTCAGTGTGATATTATTCTCTTGAATTTTTATGTCTGCACTTTATCACAACAATGCGCTTGCTATGACAGCATAAAATTACAATACACATTGATAAGAAATTAATATGCACACCACTAAGACACATTATTTTTATATCGTGAAAGATTTATCGTTTAGCGTAAACTCTGTTAATCGTTTAACTGCAATATATATATTTCAAATTTGTCATTTTAAAGTAATTAAAACTGATAAATAAATTTCACAAACATATGCGCAAATATAAATTTAAAGAATAATAAACTAGTAAATAAAAAAAGGATGATTAAAAAAATAAAATTGTATAAAAATATAAATATGCAGGAGTATACTGTATACGAGTAAATTTATTATCCAAAATATACTATAAAAATATTATTTTAAACATTTTTTGTTAAATCAATTAGTTCATAAATAAATACACGAATATGTTATAAATTAGAAAGAATCTACTATATATAATTTTAAAATTTTTACTTGTCATTTTTTTTATAGACTGTAAACTTTTATTAAATCATTATTATAAATAAAGTATATAAATTAGCATCAATCGAATATTTGACACGCATAATTAAACAATGAAAACATTGGTAAATTATAAAAAGCCATACACAGAAAAAGCGAAACTAATCATTGATAATTCTATCGATTTTCACGAATTCATTGTATCAGGAAGCTTATCCAAAAATTTCGAATACTCAACCTAAATATGCAGATAATTAATCTGTTTTAAACTAATTACATCATTTTCTGTGACAATATTAAAGACTATACACCAAATGCAAAGCACGT